TTCCAAGAAACTCAAGAGTAGAAATTAAAAGATGCTTGCTCCTTGGAAGAAAAGCTAGCTTTGAAAAACCTAGATGATGCATTAAAAAGCAGAGTCATCACTTTGCTGACAAAGGTCTGCATAGTCAAAGCTCTGGCTTTTCCAGTAGTCATGTATGGATGTGAGAATTGGACCATATAGAAGGCTGAGTGCTGAAGAATTGATGTTTTTAAACTGGTGCTAGACAAGACTCTTGAGAGTTCCTTGGACAGCAAGGAGATCAAACCAGTCAATCCTAAAGGAAATCAACCCTGAATATTCGTTGGAAGGACTGATGCTGAAGCTGAAGCTCCAATACTTTGGCCACCTGATGCGAAAAGCCAACTCACTGGAAAAGGCCCTGATGGTGGGAAAGATTGAGGGTAAGAGGAGAAGGGGGTGACAGAGGATAAGATGGTTGGATGGCCTCACAGACTCAATGAACATGAGTTTGAGCAAACTCTGGGAGATAGTGAAGAGCAGGGAAGCCTGGTGTGCTGCAGTTCATGGGGTAACAAAGAGTCAGACATGACTTAGCAACAACAACTTAGTATTCTATTTTTAAAGGATGTATTTCTATTGTACTTAAAATAGATACATTGGATTTTGTTATCTGCAACTGAACCTTGACTAATATAAGTTCAAAGTAAAGATCCCACATTGCAGAGTGAGCTGGGAGACCACTATACCACATGCAGAAAGGTATCTAAACCTTACCCACATCAAGGATATAAAGTTGTAGGGATTTTGAAGATTAGGAGAGGATGTAGGGAGACAGTTTTGGTGTCCTATGACCCTAAGGGCAGAAGGGGGTGGATGCCTGCCCCTTACCTCAAGTCTAAGGAGAGGGGCTTCAAGGTCACAACTTGGAGAGCTTGTTAAGTGTCCCCTGTAGTTTGGAGGACGCAGCAGACTGGTCTTTGACTCAAACCTGAGAACTACAACAGGCAGAGACTGCTGATGGATGCCTGTCTCCATGGCAGAATGAAGGAAAGATGACTGTATAGGGATCCACCAGAGCTCCAGTTTGCTGGAAGCTCCAGTTTGCTGGAATGAGTGAAGTGGATATGTCCCATGGGCCAGATGTGAGCTTCACACATGTGAAACTTACAGCAAAGGTTTAATAGGTCTGGTCCTAAATAGCTGCCTGGAGCTGGGGAGACCTCAGTGGAGGAAGGAAGTTAGAGGTCCATAGGTATAAGGGAGGAAAAATCATTTTCCTTCTACCCTTCTGAGTTCTTGGCTGAGACCCCTATAATAAAATAAGATTAAGCACTTTCCTGTGATCCAGTGGTTAAGAATCTGACTTCCCATACCAAGAACATGGGTTTCATCTCTGGTCCAGGAAGACCCGACATGCCATGGGTCAACTAAACCCAACAACAACTAAGCCACAACAAAGACCCAACAGAGCTAAAATAAAATAATAGTAAAAATAAATAAATCAAATAAAAATAACTAGCTTCATTTTTTTTTTAAAGAAGATTAATAAGAGAAAAACAAACAAGCTTTTAAACATGCATACCTCATGTAAAGGTGGGAGATGCCCAGGGTAAAATGAGGAACCTCACAAGGTGGTTTAGAACTCTGGCTTAAATACCATCTTCAGTTATAAACAAAAGAAAGACATGGGGAGTCTAAGTGAACAGATCCAGCTGGTACTAACCTCTTTCTCTTCTCAACCCTCAATACCAGTGATCACCCTACACCTGGTTACATCACCACCATCCACCATAACTTTTAGCTAGCACCTACAGTGCCATAAACCCTGAGCCAAGAATTTACATCAGCCTGCTTTTATTTGTGTATTAATGTTTATAGTTGTGCTGGGTCTTAGTTCCTGTGCTCGGGCTGCTCTTTATTTGTGGCAAGTGAGGGCTACTCCCTGGTTGCAGCGCATGGACTTCTTATTGCAGCGGCTTCTCTTATTGAAGAGTAGTGGGGTCTGGGGCACACAGGCCTCAGTAGTTGTGGTTCACAGGCTTAGTTGCCTTGAGGTAGGTGGAGTCCCCAGACCAGAGATCGAATCCATGTCTCCTGCACAGATAGGCAGATTCTTAACCACTGGACCACCAGGGAAGTCCATCTGTCTGCTTTTAAACTCTCAGAACAACCTTCTGAAGAAGGTACCATTTACAAATGAATACTTCTGAGTAGGGACTCAGATGAGGAAAAAGAGGCTCAGCGAGGATAGAGGACTTCCTAAGGTCACATATTTAGAAAGTGGCAGAGATAGGATTTGAAGCCTGCTCTGTCTGATTCTAGAGCCCTTACCTTCTTTCCACCCCCTCTCTGTGTCTTGCTAGGGGGACTTCCACCATAATTTTGCCTCCATGTTTCATCTTGGCCCTTTTCTTGTTATTTGCCCTTTCCTCTATTAATGTTCCTCTATCTTAGTACCTGATTCCTTTAGAGGGGGACTGCCCTCCACATATCAGTAGATCAAGGAGAGATCATTTGGTTGACTTCACATAGTTTTCTCAGCCTCAAGGTGCAGGAAAAGAACCTCCAGCTTCTATTTCATCATCCAGTCCCTGCTGGGACAGGGTCAAGCAGGACAGTATGCATTCATGACCTTCCTTTCCTGCTTCTCCATCTTTAATACACATGTGCCCTGATCCCACTTCAGTCCCTCCTTAAGAAATGAGAGAAAACCCCTCCCCTTAGTAGGTACCTTCCCTTAGCCATCTACATCCCTCTCCCTGCCTCTCCTTACCTGAGACCCGGAGCAGCAGCAGCAGTTTCCATGGTCACCCCCAGAGCCCTCCCCCTCCACTTCATCCCACTCCCTGGATCCACTGTGCGTCGGTCGCTTCATCATCTTTTCCATTTACTGGAGGCTGTTGCCTCACTTGGGTGTTTTCCATCTTCCCTGAGGAGGCTTGGTTGTCAGTTTGAAGTTGAGAAACCCTGAGGAAAATGTGACAAGACCTGGCAGCTCAGGAAAATGCAGAAGAAAGAGAAGAGAGAGCTCGCTGCCCTTGTGACATCTTCCTTCCTGCTTTCATCATGTCACTATGCAATTGGGCAACACTCAGCAGCTCCCCATTCTCCACAAGAGCAAGTCTAGACCCATCCATCTGACATCCCACCTCTCTGCCACCAAGACTGCCTCCAGCCACCAAGACATTCTCATCACTGGCCACTGACCACTACATCCCACAACCCCTCCTACCAATCTCCCTGCCTGCCTGACACTGTGTATCCAGCTTTGACTTGCCTTTTGAGGCCTGAGTCAAGCCTTCCCGATGACCCACCTTCTTCATCTTACTCCACCCTGTGATTCCCAAGGATGAGCATGTGGCTGCATCACTCAGGAAGCTTGGCAAACATACACCCATCTGGGCTCCACCCCAGACACACTGATTTGATAAGTCTGGGGAGGGCCTAGGAACCTACATTTTAACAAGCATACAGGTGATTCTGAAGCAAGTGGTCCAAATAGATGATGAATCAGAGTTCATCCACATCCAAAAGTCCTATATGAGTCAGTTAGCCCCCAAAGTGTTCCTCAGGTGCTCTGCCTGGATCTAAGGTATGTGCTTCCCTGAGTTCCAATCCAGACGTGAGCATAGAAACCATAGTTTTAATGGTACCAGGAGTGACTCCAAGGATTGAAGACCTGCTGTGTGCCAGATGTTTTACTCAGGTTGTCTCATTTAATTCTGCCAGCTTTGGAATTGTATAATGGATATTCATCATCTTTTGGCTCTCCAGCACCCAATACCCTTTCCATTTGGGGGCTATGCCCCAAGGTGTGGGTCTCACAGGGCATAGAACACTATTTCTCCTTCTATTGAGCATGGAGAAAGATATTTCTCCTGCCCCTTCTCCCTGGCATCTATGGTACAGACATGTGACTTGACCTAAGTGGCCAAATGCATGATTCTCAGAGGGGTCAGTCCCCAGGTTGGTGAGGAAGTCCTCACAGGATGGCAGGGGCTCAGGGAGGGGAGGACAGTACCCTAGCTCTCAGGGTACCTGTTTCACACAAATAGGGGAAGATGGTAAGAATATGGATCGTGGGTGGTAGAGTATGTTTGCTCTTGGGGAATTTAAGACAACTTTGGCCTTGGCCATTCCTGAATGGGAATGGAAGGACCCATCATCTCTTCACCACTGGTGGGGCCCCTTCCCCTTTAGAGTCAGAAGAGGTAGAAAATCAGAAAGTACTGATTGAAATCTGTTGGTAGGCCTGGACACCTCTTTCATGGATGAGCTTGGGAGTGAAGGGGGAGCTGTAGGGGCAGAGAGGCAGAGGAAGGCAGGGGCTGGTACCAGCAGGGCACATGGGGAACATCATCCAGGAGCCTAACTGGTGAGAGCTGGTCACCAACATCCCTGCACCTCATGTGACATAAGGAAGAGGCACTTAGATAGAGTAGGCTCCCTGTTGTTCCTTTCTGTGTGGCTTTGAGGCGCTAGGTCTTCAGTAAAGGAGGTCTAGTTTTTGCTCCTGCCAGTAAGTTGTGATGCACTTCTCATGTTCCAGGAATGGATCTCTGCCTTTGTGGGGTTGTTCTGAGGATCCAGTGGCTAGATGCACCCCTGCTGATGCCCACAATAAATGCACACAGTAGACAAGTGATATTGCTTTACCGGTCCTAAGCCATGGATCCTATCTCATCCTCCCAGTATTGTCCCAGGATATGCCCTTCTTGTTAGCTTAATTCCCCTTTCCCAAATATGGAGTTCTTACCATGACATCTCATCTTCTCTTTGCTCCATGGTTTTCAACAATCTTCTAGGAGTGTTGGAAAAGGCCATAAATGAAGGGGAGAAATCGAAACATCTGATTCTAGAGGAGAGGACAGCCCTGGCAGCTGAGAGAACAAGATGCCTCTGTACTGGGAACTCTGTCCAGTTCAAGTCAAAATGTTGTGGTCCAGGGTGAGGACCAGGGCAGAGTTAGTGGCTGTAGCCTCTGTGCTTCACGATCCCCACAGACCTTGACAGTGAAAAGCATCAGGCAGTGTCTTCACTTTTTTAATATTTATTTATTTGGCTGTGCCGGGTCTTAGTTGCCCCACATGGGATTTTTGACCTTCGTTGCAGCATGTGGGATCTAGTTCCCTGACAGGGATGGAACCCAGGGGGCCCTCTGCATTGGGAACTCGGACTTAGCCACTGGGCCACCAGGAAAGTCCCAGGCAGTGTCTTTATTTAATGCAAACCCTGAGCCACCTGTGGAATGAGCAGGTTTGGGGCCATATCTTCTCTTGTGAGGGGACAATGCACGCCCAAGGTTATCAGTTAAATGAGGGGAGTTAACAGGGCCAAGAAGGTGGGATCCTGAGCCTTAGATGTCACCTGAGTTACAGATCAGCTCATGTCACTGACCCCCGCCTCTTCCCCTTATACCCCTCTTTAGGCACAACTGCCAGGTGGACACGGATGGAGGTCGGGGATCATTCTTGTGGATTCCTGTGGCTAAGATGCAAATGACCTCTGCGTGATAGCAAACAGACCGATGAAGACCAGGGTCTTACTCAGGAGTCCACATGCCGCAGGAATGACGAAGCTGATCTCAGGGGTCCTGGAGGAGACAGAAGAGTGAGCACTGCTATGGGCGTGGATGCTCCCACACAAGTGCGTATTTGTCATGGTCTTTCACACCCCTTGGCTCATCTGCTCACAATCCCTCCTTTCCCCATACTAACTGGCTCTGTCCTGTCCATTTAGTTTGTCCCATCACCTAAAACTACTGATTAGAAATATACTTACTACTGAGAGCACAGAGTCCACGTTCAGAAGAGGCACCAGGGAGAAAGGACAGGCGGACAAGGCTCCTTCTTGCCTTGATGCAGTAGAGAGAGCAAGGGCTCCAGAGCAAGGTAACCTGGCTTCCATTCTCAGCATTAGGACCTATCCTGGGAGAGTCACCTCACCTCTCTGGCCTTATTTATAAACCGAGAAGATTCCAGTCCTCATCAAAATCCCATCATGAATTTTCATAGGCTTCAGCAAGGTGACTCTAAAAGCCCTGGGTAAACATCAGTAGGTGCCATAAGAAAGGGATGCAAATGAATGAAGAAAGTTGGCTTGTATAGACTCAGCAGATGTGGAAATGGGTTGTGTGTGTGTTCAGTTACCTCAGTCGTGTCTGACTCTTTGCGACCCTATGGATTATAGCCCTCCAGTCTCCGCTGTCCATGGGATTCCCCAGGCAAGAATACTGAAGTGGTTTGCCATGCCTTCCTCCAGGGGATCTTCTTGACCCAGAGATCGAACCCATGTCTCTACGTCTCCTGCACTATAGGTTCTTTATCACTAGTGCCACCTGGGAAGCCCGTGGAAATAGGTTATAGCACAACTAATCCATAGAGATGAAACACCGGTCGAAAAGAGAGACTGCAGGGAAACTAATAGAAGTCCAGATATAGATCTAAAGATAGCTAAGAATTCATATCTAAGGAAATTGGCAGCCTAATAGGTAGGCAAGAATTGTCTAGTAAATAGTCTTGTAATATCTGGGTGGCAAAATATAAGAAAAAGTCATTGCTTCTATCGTTCATGCCATATAGCAAAACACCCCCCGGATGGATTAAGATTAAAATAAAGTGAAAAAAATAGAGAAGGCACCAGGAAATAGCATAAACACAACTAAGGAATAAAACAAAGCAATAATTTAAAAATCAACACGTTTGCCTATGCAAAACTTAAACCTGAATGTACAAACTAGCAAGGGAGAAATGATAGAACAGCCATAGAAAGCAGCACAGGTCCTTTTGTGCTAAAACCTACCCCCAGCCTGCGGCACCATCTTGCATCTGCAGGAGCTAGATGTCTGAGGCAGCCAAGTTCAGCCCTGGCTGCCCTGGCTGGGAGCTGGGGTGGGGGCTGGAAGGCAGGGCCTCTCTAGACCCTCAAGCTTGCAGCTGTGCCCCCTGCAGTGCAAGCCTGTGCCTGGTTCCAGCCCTACCGCCCAGGGAGTAGCCAGCTCTCGGCTCCACAAACTGTAACCCGTCCAAGTGTCTCGTGCCAGTCCCCTGCCTTATCCCCTCCAAGCCCTGGAATGTTTTCTTGCACGGAGCTCCTAGAATATGTCCACTCTCAAGGGCCAGCATGGCATCCCTTTCTGAGGCTGTATGCAGGCAGCCAGACACCCCAACTCCATCCCACCCCACCCCAAGCACTCTGGCCACAGTACTGGGGAATTCCTGTGCCCCTCACCGAATGCTGGGAGAACAAACCCTCTAGCTCCCAGCACCCTCTCCATACGGACAACTCCTGTGATGCCCAGAAACACCTTTAGTCCCTGTGGGACTCACTTTGGTTATGGTATGCTTTGCTAGGTTTCCTTCCCTCCCAGTCCCACTCCCCAGGAATGGTTTTCCCTGGGATCACTTCCTAAAACATTTGCGCAAGATTTTCTGCGCAGCCTGCCTCCGTGGAATCCTCCTAAGACAGGGTGACAGTGGCTTCCTCTGAGGTGCCACACTCTTCGGCCCCAGATAGGCACCTCTGTTCTTCCATCTCCTGGACAAACTGCTCCCTCCTCTAAATTCCCTCTTTTTCAAACTGCTCAGTGGCTTCTGCCTTCCCAACTGTACTCTGACGCATAGAATGGTTCATGTTAATTAAAACACATAAAGTCAACAGGTTGAAGGAAGTATAGCCTCTAGCAGGAATATGGGCGAATGTTTGCACTCTCAGTTTATACGTTGGAAAATTAGTGGAAAAAAAAAGAATAGCATTTATTGTAAAGGTTTATTTTATTTTAAAGATGTTAATGATCACCTACTATATACCAGACACTTAGGCCCAACAGAAGGGGAAGAGGGCACTCTGCCTCTGCCCTGTGCAGCTCAGAGTCCACAGTAATAGATGAAAGCAAGTCCCAGCTCATGTCTGATACCATGCAGGGCCCTCGGGGGCTCCTGGGCACAAGGTTTTTGTGTCCCCCATTTCTTTGATTTTAGGAAACAACATTCATTCAGCCTCCATGGCTTTCCCTGAGCCCCAGGGGTCAGATTCAAGCAGTTGTTAATTAGGGAAGGGAGGGGAAGCTAAAGGCAAAGGAGGAAAGAAAGATATCCCATCTGAATGCAGAGTTCCAAAGAATAGAGATAAGAAAGCCTTCCTCAGTGATCAATGCAAAGAAATAGAGGAAAACAATAGAATGGGAAAGACTAGAGATCTCTTCAAGAAAATTCGAGATACCAAGGGAATATTTCATGCAAAGATGGGCTCAATAAAGGACAGAAATGGAATGGACCTAACAGAAGCAGAAGATATTAAAAAGAGGTGGCAAGAATACACAGAAGACGTATACAAAAAAGACCTTCCTAACCCAGATAACCACAGTGGTGTGATGACTCACCTAGAGCCAGACATCTTGGAGCGTTGAATTCAAGTGGGCATGAGGAAGCTTCACTATGAACAAAGCTAGTGGAACTGATGGAATTCCAGCTGAGCTATTTCAAATCTTAAAAGATCATTATCTGTGAAAGTGCTGCACTCAATTTGCCAACCAATTTGGAAAACTCAACAGGGACCACAGGACTGAAAAAGGTCAGTTTTCATTCCAATCCCAAAGAAAGGCAATGCCAAAAAATGTTCAAACTACCACACAATTGCACTCATCTCACACGCTAGCAAAATAATGCTCAAAGTTTTCCAAGTGAGGCTTCAACAGTATATGAACTGAGAACTTCCAGATGTTCAAGCTGGATTTAGAAAAGGCAGAAGAACCAGAGATCAAATTGCCAACATCTGTTGGATCATAGGAAAAGCAAGAGAGTTCCAGGAAAACATCTACTTCTGCTTTATTGACTATGCTAAAGCCTTTGACTGTGTGGATCACAACAAACTGTGGAAAATTCTTCAAGAGATGGGAATACACTTTACCTGCCTCCTGAGAAATCTGTATGTAGGTCAAGAAGGAGCTGGTAGAACCAGACATGAACTGTCTGGTTCCAAATTGAGAACTTGAGAAACTGTTCCAAATTGAGAAAGGACTACGTCAAGGCTGTCTATTGTCACTGTGCTTATTTAACTTCTATGCAGAGTACATCATGCGAAATGCCAGGCTGGATGAAGCACAAGCTGGAATCAAGATTGCCCAGAGAAATATCAATAACCTCAGATATGGAGATGACATCACCCTTGTGGTAGAATGCAAAGAGGAACTGAAGAGCCTCTTGATGAAAGTGAAAGAGGAGAGTGAAAAAACTGGCTTAAAACTCAGCATTCAAAAAATGGAGATCATGGCATCACTTCATGGCAAATAGATGGGGAAAAAGTGGAAACAGTGACAGACTTAATTTTCTTGGGCTCCAAAATCTTTGCAGATGTTGACTGCAGCCATGAAATTAAAAGACGCTTCTTGGAGGAAAAGCTGTGACCAACCTAGATAGTATATTAAAAAGCAGAGACATTACATTGCTAACAAAGGTCTGTCTAGTCAAAGCTATGGTTTTTCCAGCAGTCATGTGTGGATGTGAGAGTTGGGCCATAAAGAAAGCTGAGCACCAAAGAATTGATGCTTTTGAACTGTGGTGTTGGAGAAGACTCTTGAGAGTCCCTTGGACTGCAAGGAGATAAAACTAGTTCATCCTAAAGGAAATTAGTCCTGAATATTCATTGGAAGGACTGATGTTGAAGCTGAAACTCCAATACTTTGGCCACCTGATGGCATGAACTGACTCATTGGAAAAGACCCTGATGCTGGGAAAGATTGAAAGTGGGAGGAGAAGGGAACATCAGAGGATGAGATGTTGAATGGCATCACCAACTTGATGAACATGAGTTTGAGCAAGCTCTAGGAGTGGGTGATGGACAGGAAAGCCTGGCATGCTGCAGTCGTGGGGCTGCAAGGACTCAGACACGACTGAGCAACTGAACTGAACTAGGGATTCAAGACCAGGGAGAAAAAGTCAAGAGCAGCCTCTGGGTAAGGTCCTGTTTTCCCAACAATTGTTGTTGTTCAGTCACTCAGTTGTGTCTGACTTTTTGCAACCCCCTTTTTGCAACTTCCCTGTCTTTCACTATCTCCCAGAGTTTGTTCAGACTCATGTCCATTGAGTCAATGATGCCACCCAAACATCTCATTCTCTGTCATCCCCTTCATCCTGTCCTCAGTCTTTCCCAGAATCATGGTCTTTTCCAATGAGTCAGCTTTTTGCATCAGGTAGCCAAAGTACTGGAGCTTCAGCTTCAGCATCAGTCCTTCCAACGAATACTCAGGGTTAATTTCTTATAGATTGGACTGGTTTGATCTCCTTGCAGTCCAAGTGACTCTCAAGAGTCTTCTCCAACACCACAGTTCAAAAGCATCAATTCTTTGGTGCTCAGCTTTCTGTATGGTTCAACTCTCACATCCATACATGACTGCTGGAAAAACCACAGCTTTGACTAAACAGACCTTTGTCAGCAAAGTGATGTCTCTGCTTTTTAATATGCTGTCTAGGTTAGTCATAGCTTTTCTTCCAAGGAGCCAGCATCTTCTAATTTTGTGACTGCAGTCACTATTTGCAGTGATTTTGGATCCCAAGAAAATAAAATCTGCCATTGTTTCCACTTTTTCCCCATCTATTTGTCATTTCAAGTAATGGGACTGGAAGCCATGATCTTAGTTTTTCGAGTGTTGAGTTTTTTTTGTTTGTTTTTGTTCGAGTGTTGAGTTTTAAGCCAGCTTTTCCACTCTCCTCTTTACCCTATCAAGAGGTTCTTTACTTTCTCTTTCTGCCATTAGAGTGATATCATCTGTATATCTGAGGTTGTTGATATTTCTCCTGGCAGTCTTGATTCCAGCTTGTGATTCCTCACCAGTGGATACAGACAATATCTTTGAGCTGTTTTGCAGATATTGAAACCCCCTCCAGGTGGTAGAAGTTAACAAAGATTAATAATGGTCTGCCACCCACAAGCATGTAGACCCTAGACCAATTGGACCTGAAGGGTGAGGATGCTGACTCCTACTTATGTTATCACCAGCCCATCAGAAGAATGTTCACGAGCTGATCACACCCTCTCTGAACAATTACTACGAAGCTTGTCACTATCTTCCCCAAGTTGCAACACATAGTTTAAGAACATTAGCCCACAGTGGCCCCCTTTGCCTAGCAAAGCAACAAAGCTACTCCTTTCTACTTCACCCAAAACTGTCTCTGAGATTTGATTTGACACCGGCATACACAGAATCTGAGCTTTCAGCATCACATCTATTTTGACAGATATATTTTTTAAGTACCAGAGCCCTGTAGTGACTTTGCTTCTCTTCCGCATTTTGGATCTCACGGCAATTGTTTCCAACTTTTGGAAAACAAATTGACAGTATGTATAGAGGAAAATGGCTTTCCAGGTAGCTCTGTGATAAAGAATCCACATGCCAGTGCAGGAGATGCAGGTTCAATCTCTGGGTAAGGAAGACTCCCTGGAGGAGGAAATGGTAACCCCCTATAGTATTCTTGCCTGGAGAATTCCATGGACAAAGGAGCCTTGTAGGCTATAGTCCATGTGGTCACAAAGAGTTGGACACAACTGAGCATGCCAGGACACATACAGAACAGTATAAATGTTCGGCTTCTTTTAAGAGAATTTCTTTTGAGTGAACAACTTAAAAAAAGAAAAGGACATCTACAAATATATGTTCATCTCAGAGTTATCAATACTACAAAAAATGAAAATAATTTCAACATCTAAAAACAGGCAAAGGATTATGTGAGCTATGGCTTTCTACTGATAGAAAAGTACTCTGAAATTCTGACCACAAAGACTAGGGAGCAACACTGAAGAATAGTTTTAGCCAAGAAAAATAGTGAAAATGTGTATAATTAGAATTAATGCCACATTAAAATATATCCAAGCATGAATAAAAACTAGAAGAGAAGATGGACAAAAAAAGACACATTAGATTGATAGGAATATGGAAGATTATTTCTTTCTCTGCTAAGTCAACATTTAGTGATAAACACACTCTAAGATAAATCAACATTTAATAATAAACTGTATAAAAAGGTGTGCATGCAAAGGTCATGGTTCTTAGCTTTGCCTGCTCATTTTAAGAGTCCTGAAGATCTTATAAAAATTACTGAGACCAGCCCCACCTTCAGAAATTCTAACTCTTTTGGTCTGCAGATGTCATGTGCATCAGTATTGAAAACCAGTCAGGGATTTCCCCAGTGGTCCAGTGATCAAGACTCTGCCTTGCAGTGGAGAGGACACTGGTTCTATCTGAGACCCCACATGCTGCAGGGTGCATTAAAAATTTTTTTTTAATAAATAAATAAAACAAGCCAAATAAAAGCTTATGCTCTGGGATATCCTAACACGCATCACTTGCTCAGAGCTGTTGGGCTAGATTGTGGCTTCCAGCTCTGGTTTTTTTCCTACCCTCCCCTGCTACCCCCTCCAACCCCAACCACAGAAACAAGGAAACTGAAGCCAGAGAAGGCTTCTGAGTGGCCTGAAGTTACACTTTCAGTTGATCTGGCTGGCATTGGAATCCAGGGTCTCTTTTCCCACTACACCATTAGGGGTTTGCTGAGCCCTTGGAATTCAGCACAGACACTATTTCCCTCTCCTTAGCCCTCTGACATGCAAGAAGCAAACACAGAGGGAAACTGGGGAGAATGGCAGCCTCATTATTGCCTCCAACAGCCTCCCCCTCACACCAGCACCACCACACTCCTTCCACCCCTGGGAAGATCCACTGGACCGAGATGACTCAAACCCACCCTGCCCTCTACCTTCCCCCATCCCTCACTCCCCACATCCTCTCAGCACATGGACTGGGAGTCAAAGGACTTGGTGTCCAATCCAAGGGCCTAGAGAACTGGAAACCATACCTGGTGACATGTGTCACATTTGTGGGAGTGACTGTGAAACCAGAAGAGGAGAGGCTATTAGTTGATGTGGGGATGAGTTGGGTCACAGTCCTGGGCCTGGGACGGAGCTTGGTGGTGATGGGAGGAAGGGTGGGATTCCGAGCAGAGATCTGGCAAGGATAGTCATCTGAGGCAGGGGGTCCCAAAGAACCTGCAAGAAAGCACATTGGATGATTGGACAGATGATGGATGGACAGAAGGGTGCGTGGTAGCGTAAATGAAACTGAGGGAAATGAACATGCCCACTCATGAACCAAGGTTTCCTTTTGCTTTTAATTTTAATAAAGAAATAGTGTGCCATTTCTTGGGTCAGAGATGGGGACAAGGAAAGAAGGAAGGAAAGAAGGAGGGATGGAGATAAGGAAGAAGGAAGGTATTTCCAGGCTATTCATGTTATTGGAAATGCACCTGCCTGCTATTCTTCACCAATCCATATGTGCCCTTCTTCAAGACTAATTCCCTAATTATCTTATACCATTCTCTCTGCCTTGCACTCACCCGTACCTGTGGCATATTGCTTTGCAAGTTATCTTTCATTAATATATTGCAGATATGTCTTGTCTTCCTTAGATATGGGCTCCACAGGGGTTAGGAACTTGAATCTGCCCCCGTTCTAATCTGCTTTCCTTAATTCATCCAGTCAACATGTGGAGGCCCTACAATATGCCAGGCACTTCATCAGTTGCTAGAGCTATGGAGTCAAATTAGGCACAGATTATTTCCTCAAGGTTCTCAAAGATGAATAGGGGGGACAGTTAAGGAAACTGGCCACTGCTTCACCCAGTGAGATGGGGTTATCTATGAAGAGGGCTCAGAGTGAGCCCTGGTGCTTCACTACTCAAACAGAAGCCATGGACCAGCAGCATCAGCACTGTCTGTGAAGAGGCTGGAAATGCAGAATCTAGGTCCCATCCTAGACATACTGCAGCTAAAATAATACCCCCAAGTGGTTTGTGCCCACTTAAGGTCTGAGGAGCACTACTTTGGAAGCACTGCACACAAGAGGGCCCTCAGATGCATCCTTAGGAAGGGAGGGTGACTCACAGAGGCTTCCCAAGGAAATGACTTCTCCATGAAGACCTGAAGCATGAGACTAAATTGTCCCAAGTCCATCACTCACATTTCACCATATCCCACTTCCTACACTAGCACAGCATGTTAGGTTCTGCTCACAAAGAGGAATCCATACAAAGAATGAGATGCAATCCCTTCTTACCATTGGACCAGATATCTCTCAAGGACCTCAAATGAGAAACAAAGAGCTTCTAGAACAAGGAGCGAGGTCATAGGCTTCTAGAAATCTTGAGCCACAGCCCTAGTGGTGCTACCACCACTGTCCCACCCGACCCGATTCGGCTGTCCCACCCTCCACCACCCACCCACATGTCACTCACTCTTGGTCACCACCAGGCGGACAGGGTAGAACAGGATGATGGGGTCGCTGGGTCCCAAGATCACACATCGGTACAGTCCTGAGTCCTCCACTTGAAGGTTGATCACTCGGACTTGCAACATGCCTTCACTGGGGATGTCTTTGAGGAAGTACTTCCCCACCTGGACTTGACTGGACCCCTCTGTGACTGCCAGTGTCTGGACCTCCCCGTTATCTTTCAGCCTCTGCCAAGCCTTCCGGCTTATGGAATATATGTTGGTATTTGTAGGACAGCTCACATTCAAGGTCTGCCCCTCTGCTAGAGTACATTTCTCCTCAAATACTTCAGCGACAGCTTGGATTTCTGTAAGCAGAGAATTTGAGTTAGGCTCTGTGAGGAACAGCTTCTTTCTCTTTGGGAAAAAAAAAGAAAAAGAGAGAGAGGATCCACCTTTCTTTCTTGTTCAATCACTGAATTTTTAGACAAGATCCTCAAGGTCTCCAGAGAAGATGCAGCTTTCCCTGCAAGTTAGCATTAGATCCCATATCTTATCACTGCAAGTAGTGTTTTTTTTTGGGGGGGGGTCGTTTGGTTTGTTTGTTTGATTTTGACCACAAAAGTTAGACTGTGTATGATTTGTGCAAATCAACTTTCAGAAATGACTGTTTTTGAGAGGAAGAAATTGTCTGAATAGAGACAGAGCGTGGGACACATGCTAGGACCATGAGTGACAGGGGCATGACGGGAGGGAACGATTATAGAGATGGATATACAGGGTGAAGAGTAAGACTGCTGAATCCTAACCACTAGACCACCAGGGACAGGGTCCAAAGTGGATGTGAGGAGATGTTACTATCAGAAAGTGACTCCACTGAACAGCTAGAGGAACTTCATCTAAGTCAGAGGAGAGAGACCAGTTCAAGAGACTATTGGAAAAATGGCGAAAAAGCCATCTCAAGGACATGGTGGACACTGATGTCTGGCTGTGTGGTCCTCATCTCTCCCTTCCTTGGGGAGTAGAGCACCTCTTTCTCAGGGTGCTCATCCTTCGCATCCTATGTACCTTTACTGATGAGGCTGCCCATATTCTCCAGGATGGACACAGAGACACAGGCTAAGCCAAAGAATCTCACCACCCTGGCCATGCTGATTGGCCTAGAAGTGGGCGCATGATTAAGGTTGGCCAGTCAGAATCCTCTCTGAGACTGCTGCTCTTTCTTACTGTGTTGATTGGTCTATAGGATGTTGCTTGCTTCCAAAAGAGCTCTAAATATTACAGAATGTCAAGGAGTCACAGCAGTGGTCCTCCACTGGGGACAATTTTCCCTCTGAGGACATTGGACAATGCCTGCAGACATTTTTGGTTGTTATAATTGGGAGCTATGCTGTGCTGTGCTTAATCACTCAGTCATGTCCAGCTCATTGAGACCCCATGGACTTGTAGCCCACCAGGTCCCTCTGTCCATGGGATTCTCCAGGCAAGAATACTAGAGTGGGTTGCCATTCCCTTCTCCAGGGGATCTTCCCAACCCAGGGATCGAACCCAAGTCTCCCTCATTGCAGATGCATTCTGTACCAGCTGAGCTACTAGGGAACCCCCATCATTGGGAGTAGGGAGGTGCCAAAAGCATCTAATGGGTACAGGCCAGAGATGTTGTTAAACATCCTCCAGTGTACAGGCCAGCCCCCAGAAGAAAAAATTAATCTACCCATAATGTCAATAGTGCCAAGGCTGAGAACCCTTGGATTACAGGGACAAAAGTTTCAATCACACTCTTGAATGTTGAGCCTAGAGTTGGCATGAATTTCTGGTCTGGTCCAAGGGATCCTTGCTGATGGAAGGGCCAAGTAGAGTTGAAGAAGATCCAGGTCTGTGTTGTCAACTGGACACAGCAGGGCTCCCTTTACTGAGGGACTACGGTTTATCCATCCAGGCCTGAGATATCTTTCTTCATGGGAAACCAAATAATGGGCTGGATAGTGGTGGGTCAACCCACCTACCATTACCAAGGTCAGGCTACCACTACCTACAATCATTGCTGCTTTCATTCATCTAAATGTTAGCGTCCCCCTAAAATTCATATTTTGAAATCTTAAACTTCAAGGTGGAGATAGTTAGGTCGTAAGGGCTCTGCCCTCAGGAATAGGATTAGTGCCTTTATTAATGAGGCTCCAGGGGGCTCCCTTGCCCTTTCCCCCTCATGAGGACACAGTGGGAAATTGGTAGTCAGTCTGCCACTCAGAAGACCTTACCCAGAACCCAACCATACTGGTACCATGACCTTGAATTTCCAGCTTCCAGAACTGGGAGAAGTAAATTTCTGTTGTTTATAAGCCACCCAGTCTGTGGTATTTTGTTATAACTGCCCGGATGGATTAAGGCAGTAGGAGTTATAGGAGACGGATTGCTCACACACCTGCCAGGCTCTTGTGAAAGGAGACAGAAGAAACCAACGCAGAAGTGAATTCTGTACTTCACTTTCTGCACCATTTCAAGGAAGGAATTCTTTATATTATTAATGTAAAAAAGAATAACAAATACCTTTTACTGCTAAGTGTTTAAGACACTCTCTCATTTAATCTTTATAACTTATCAGTTGATACTGCTATTATTCCTAGTTTCAAGACAAGAAAATTGGGGCACAGAAAGTGTATTTAGTAACCCAGAAGTCGTTATGTGATTTGGGCTTCCCAGGTGGCCTAGTGGTAAAGAAGCTGCCTGCTGATGCAAGAGTCGTGGGTTTGATCCCTGGGTTGGGAAGATCCAGTGGCGTGGGAATGGCAGCTCACTCCCGTATTCTTATCTGGAAAATCCCATGGACAAAGGAGCCTGGAAGGCTACAGTGCATGAGGTCAAAAAGAGTTGGACTCACTGAGCACACACACACATTGTGTGATTTTGCCCAAGGTCCCACAGGAGAAATGTGTGAAGTCAGTGTTCAAACCCTCATAGTCAGACTCTAAAAAGTATCCGACTCTTGGCGACCCTAGTCTCGAAACTAGGAATAATAGTAGTATCAACTTATAAGTTATTAAGATTAAATCAGAGTGTCTTAAATGCTTAGCAGTAAGTGTGACCCCATGGGGTGTAGCCTGCCAGGCTCCTCCATCTATGGGATTTTTCCAGGCAAGAATATTGGCATTTCCTTCTCCAGGGGATCTTCCTGACCCATGGATTGAACCTGGGTCTCCCGCACTGCAGGCAGACTCTACCATCTGAGCCACCAGGGAAGATTCTAGAATCAGCTCTAAACCTCTGAGCTAGATTGCCCAGGGTAGAAGTCTGGTTGGGATTAGAGCCAATGCCAACCCAAGTGAGAATAGCTGACTAACAACTCTATTCCCCAGGCCACAGGGTCTAGAAGGAGCTTTTATGTTACACCCTAATCTACCCTGATAGGACCCAGTGGGAAAAAACAATTGGTTTCCTCTCAGTCTTCCTTCCATCTTCTCCCAGTTCTCCTTTGGAAAAACCTGAATAAGACACAAGGGGGGGCTTCCCTGGCGGTCCAGTGGGGTTGGGAATCAGTCTGCCAATGCAGGGACACAGGTTCCCTCCCTGCTTCAGGGAGATACCACACGCCAAGGGGCAACTACGCCTATGCACCACAACTACTGAACCTGTGCCCCAGAACCCGTGAGCTGCAACAAGAGAAGCCACCGAAATGGGAAGCCCATGCACCGCAACCGGAGAGCAGCCCCCACTCACCCCAACTAGAGAAAGCCCATGCACCGCAACGAAGACCCGGTGCGGGCAAATAATGAATAAAGCTAAAAATAAACCAATAAACACAATCTCCACTGCAAAATGACAGCAGGTTTTCTGGTTTTTTTAAAGAAAAGACACACAGAAATGCACCGGCCATGGGACCCACACTCCCAGGTACCCATCTGGATCATCACCCCAGCTCCAAGAAATCTCGGAGTAACCCTGGTGTGCGGGCTCTACCAGGTGATTGTCCAGGACTTTGCTCAAGGCACTGAGTCCCTGGAAAGCATCCTCTCCCTGGAATCTTTTCTGTCTTTCCAAAGCAAACCTTTCTTTTGACTCCTTGTTGATATGCTCCCCTTCTCTGCTTGTTTTCTCAATGTATTCATGAGGACTGGGAGCAGGAACAAAGAAAGCTCCAAGTGCTTCCACTTTTAATGAAGCTGTGAGCTGGGCCGGAAGAGAAGAGAAGGGCCCTGGCAACCCTGCGGAGCCTGAGCAGCAGAGCCTCAGGGTCCTGGGATCACGGCCTCTGTGAAAATGGGCACTTTTCTTCTGTGCACTTCTGTGTCCTCAGCAATAGCAGGTTTCCTGGCCCATGCTTGGCCACTGGGAGATATTTATTGAGTGGACTATGTCTTTGGGGTTTAGGCTTCCCTGGCAGCTCAGTTGGTAAAAAGTCTGCCTGCAATGCAAGAGACCCAGGTTCGATCCCTGGGTGAGGAAGATCCCCTGGAGATGGAAATGGCAACCCACTCCAGTATTCTTGCCTGGAGAATTCCATGGATAGACATGGGGTCACAAAGAGTTGGACACGACTGAGTGACTAACACTTCTTTCAACACCAAAAGCACCATCATGGAATATAAAGGGTAAAAAAATTCAAACTCAAAACCAAAATTCCCTTAGATCATGTCAAGGTGAGATTTTTCTCTACCATTAGTTTCCCACTCAGGGTTTTGCATGTCCCCGACAACATCAAAAGGCACAGGCATCTTGTTGTTTCCCTAACCCACACCCTTTAGTTCTGTCCTCAGGCCCTGTGTGTTCTGATTGTTTTAAGTTTGGGTGGAGAAACCCAGTGTGGCTTGTCTATGGGATGGTTCTGTCTTGGGTGGCCACATCCCCCGGAGCTTCAGAGGAAAAGGGAGACCTTTCTTGTGGAGGGCTTGGCCCCAACCCCAGGTCCTGGGCAAAGAGCTCACCTGCTCATGCCTCCTCCCCATCTTACCTGGGATGAAGAGCATCCAGAGCAGCCTCCAGAGCCTGGCCTGCCTCATCCTTCATGTGCACTGACTCCAACTGTTCTGTGGCTCCTGGCACAGCTACAGGGGGACACTCTGCCCCAGAGGCTCCAGAAAGTTGCACAACAGGATGTTTTGCCATTGCTGGGAGGTGCTGAGTCTGATGCTGTGTTTCATCACTGGTTATCTTGGCTCCAGACATCAAGGACAACATAGGAATCCAAAGACTGGGCTCATTCATAGACCAGAAAAGACATAGGATGATATAGTACCAGACAGTGAGAAGAGAAGAAAGAAATCCAGAAGGTTCCTTACTAGAAGCAATGAAAGGCATATTTGACAGCGTGAAAAGTCAATAACAGAAAAGATTCACTTCGGAAATAATCCCAAATGTAAAATGAATAGGACACTTTAAAGAGCTCAGAAATATACTCGAGGGCAAGGCATAGAAATCCAATTTACAAATCATCTACAAATAAGAAATGTCCTTGAAGATTAACATGGGACAGTGGATCATAAACGAGGTTAAAATTGTATATTAAATAAAAACACTTTTCAAGATACAAGCACCACAGTGTTCAGAGCAGCACTAATTACAATGCCCCAAATATGGAAATAACCTAAATGTTCATGAACAGATGAATGGATAAAGAAGATGTGGTATATATGCAAATACATAGGAATATTATTCAGCCATAATAAAGAATGAAATAATGTTATTTGCAGCAACTGGAATGGACCTAGAGATTATCACACTAACTGAAGTAGTCAGACAAAGACAAATACCATATGATCTCACTTATAAGTGGAGTCTAAAATATGATACAAATGAACTTACTTACAAAACAAAAAATAGACTTACAGACATAGAAAACAAACTTATGGTCACCAAAGGGGAAAAGAGGGGAAGGAGGCATAAATTAGGAGTTTGGGGTTGGTAGATACAAACTACTATATATAAAACAGATTAAAAAAAAAAGGTCTTACTGTATAGTATAGGGAACTACATTCAGTATTTTGTAATAAACTGTAACAGAAAAGAATCTGAAAAAATATATATACATATCTGAAAAATTATATATACACTGGATCATGGATCACTTCACTGTATATAAGAAACTAACACAACATTGTAAATCAACTACCTTTCATAAAAATTAGAAACAAAAAACCTACTCTCCAGGTCTGAAAAGATATCTGAAATTGGAAGTTGAGAGAATTTTTAACATTGGCAAGGAAAAATTCATGAAGTAAAATCAAGACTGGACAGTTTCCAGGTGAGAGATTTTAAATTTAAATAAAATCTCCTGCTGCTAAACAAACAGAAAAAGAAAACTTGAGTCCTTCAAAAGGATTGAACTGAGTGGGACTCGAATTTCTTCCACCGAGTAACAAATACTGAGAGACAGTGGGATGATGTGTAAAGAAAATCTGCTTCTAGAATTTTATACAAAAGCTGATTGCTATTCAAGTGTGAAAGCAGCAAAAAAGTTCTATCATGTCTGAAAATTTAAAAAGCAAAAAAAAAAAAACAAAAAAACTCTAAGGTTAACTTCAACATTTTAAATAAAAACTGTTGAATGCAGCAACTTCTAAGATATTGACAATAATGAAGAAATTTAAATCCTACTATTACACCCTGCAGAGATCATTGTAAAGATTTTACTAAAAGTTTTTTCTATTCTTGGTTCTATAAATGATATCAGAAGCCAGGCTTGCAGCTGCATTTGGATTGAAATCTGCCAGAAGCACTATTTGTTTTATATGTCTGGCTCACAGGGAGGGAAAGGAGACAGAGAGGTTTTGAAATTTTCTGACTCAGTGAGGCATCTGTTTGATTTTTACAAGGATGAGTCACATTTGCACAGTTAATTTAACAGATCCCTCTTCTTACAAGATGTGTCTTCCAGACCTAAATGAATACTACAACACATGCCAATTTTTTGTGTCTTTGCCTGCTTTCAGGGTTCAGGGTCAGTGTTCAGGGTCAAACTCCTGGAAGATTAAGAGAAACCTGTTTTTGTTTTTGTTTGTTTTTTTAAAATTTTGGCCTCATGTCCTTTGAGGCTCTACTATTAGCTGTATATTCTTACAAGATCATTAAGTCTTCCGGGTTGACTGATGCTTTTATCATATAGAATGGCTCTCTTTGTCTATAGCTCTTTTATTTGCTCTGAAGCCTAATCAGATATTGATATAGCCAGGCTCCTCTGTCCATGGAATTCTCCAGGCGAGAATACTGGGGTAGGTAGCCACTGCCTTCTCCAGGGGATCTTCCCAACCCAGGGATCAAACCCAGGTCTCCTCCAGTGAAGACAGATTCTTTACTGCCTGAACCACCAGAGAAGCCCTGTTAATGTAGCCACTTTGGCTTTTTAAAAAATTCCTGTTTCTATATCTTGTTCCATCCTTTTTCCTTCAACTTACCTAGTCGTTGTCTTTGAAGCGAGATTCTTATAAGCAGTATCTACCTGGATTGTAGTGTTTTATCCACTCTGTCACTCTCTATCTTTCCTAAGGGTGTTACGAAGATTTACAGCTAAGGCAAATATTGATGGGTTAGCACTTTACTATCTTATTGCTGGTTTTGTATCTGTCCTCTGGTTCTCATTCCTGTTTCTCTTTTGGGAACTTTTCATTAAATAGCCCGAGAAGGATTTCTAACTAAACTTGAGTATCACAGGAAAGTGATGACTCCTTAATGCTGTCCTAACTAGAGGCGGCACCTGAGTGCATTTAAATGAGAGAAGTCTTTACCTGTCTGATCACTTTGTGAACTTGAAGTAAACAGAACATAAAGTATTCTCTCATTTTTTAACCCACAGTTTTTCTGAAGAGTTCAGTGACTCATCCATTATTTTTTCTTTCTTACTTTTTTCGGGAGGCCATGGGGGGAACGGCATCGTACGGCTTGCAAGATCTTATTTCCCTGACCAGGGATGAGACCTGGGTCCCCTGCAGTGTGGAGTCCTAATTTTCCTGCAGCCAGGATTTTAAATTCTCAAACTACTTCTCCCAGAAAGCTACTATCTCTTACGGCTTCTCATTAAATAATCCTGGGACTTGTGACCTAGGATTTCTTTTCATTTTATTAAGGTTCAGTTCCAAGTTCCATTTTCACACATCCTCCTTCAGAGGCCCCAGCACCAGGAGGGTTTATTTTTAAGGTACCACGAGTCTTTTTGGCTTTATTCTTCAAACATTATTTTCAGTACTATTATGAAAGACTGTAAATATTATTCTGGTTGGGTTCTTTTTCTACTTAGTAAGTAAGTATCTGGCCCATGTCAATAGGTTCCAATCTTCACAATGGGATATGGTAACAGTTTCTTTCTTAATATGGATTGGTTAATCACATATCTGTTCTAACCTAGCTAGAATATATGTGCGACATCTTTTAACAGTGAGAATGTGTATATCTTCTTTTTGGCTCAAAGGAGGGCCCTGTGGGTCTAGGACCCAGATCTCTGAATTCTGGTGCTAATGTTTCTGGAGAGACCCAGTGAGATTTGTTGAGTCCTGCCCTCAAGGCCTTCCCCTGGTGGCTCAGATGGTAAAGAATCTGCCTGCAATGCAGGAGATGCTGGAGACTCAGGTTCAATCCCTGGGTTGGGAAGGTCCCCTGAAGGAGGGCACGGCAACCTACTCCAACATTCTTGCCTGGAGAATCCCTTGGACCGAGGAGCCTGGCAGGCTATAGTCCATACAGTCACAAAGAGTCGGACATGACTGAAGTGACTTAACACTCACACGCACCCCAAGGCCACAGGTGTGAGACCTTGTACCAAGGTCACAGAAGTGGAGCCCAGAAGCAAGGTCACCTCTGAAGCTGACTGAGCCCCTTTGTAACCATTGCCAAAAGCCCCCCTGATCATCACCAACAGGCTTCCTGACCCCAAATTAGGCAAAAACGTCCACCTGGCTAGTTACCCTAGAGCACCCTATGGGCATGCGTGTTCAGTCGCTTCAGTCGTGTCCGACTTTGCCCTAAGGAGCCACCTAATGCCATCCTTCCAGCAGGAATTTTCTTTGTCTTGAGGCTATAAAAACTGTCTACTAACCAAAGAAAATGGTCGGCTCTCCCCTGTCTGTCAGGAGGTCGGCCCGCTGCGCTTGCAGTGCCCACATTATCTCTGCTCTTTGTTCTTAATAAACTCACTCCCCTCTGAAATGCTCTGTGTTTGGCAATTCGTTTCCAACCTCAGACTGCCTCAACAAGACTGTTACCAGGAGCAGGAAAAACTGCACCCTGGAACCAAGTACAGCCACTGGAACCACGGCCCCTGCCCCAGTTGAAACACATTGTTTGGGCAACACTCACAGGAACAGACGCAAACAGGAAGACGCAACCCTGCCCCTTCCTCCAGCGCCCAGTCCCCCTCTAGTACCCCTGTTGACAGAGTGCAAAGGAGAAATCTGGCTGCAGCATCTCAACTCAGACCAGGGTAGAGAAGTGCTCATCAGAAAGCCAGTGGCCTGAGTAACCCGACAAAGCCATCCTGATAAAGGGGGGGGGGGGGGGGGGGCATTTAATCAGCCTAGCTGATTAAAACACTTCTACCCACTCTTCAAACATCCATGCAGTTAAATATGAACCTTTTCTTTAATCAGGGAAAAAAACCCAACCTATATATAGCACTTACTATCCATAAAGAAAAAGATATTCGGTTTTTCCATTTTTTAATATATTTGTCTATCAGTTTGTCTTGATAAACAGGCTGCTATTTTGGGGGATGGGTGGGGAGACTCAGGTTCGATCTCTGGGTCTGAAAGATCCCCTGGAGAAGGGAATGGCAACCCACTGTATTCTTTCCTGGAGAATCGAATGGACAGAGGAGCCTGGAGGGCTACAGTCTGTGGGGTCACAAAGAGTCAGACACAACTGAGCGACTAACACCACTCACACCACATGTTACAGCATGTGGGATCTGAGTTCTCCGACTGAGGATCGAAGTCACACCCCCAGCAATGGAACCTGCACCCTCTGCAGTAGCCCACAGTTGTAACCACTGGACCACCAGGAAATCCCCTGCTGTTTCATTTCTGATGCTCACTAATCACAATTTGGCTACGAGAG